AATTTATGTAGATTTTAAGCTAAGCAGCGGAAATAAAGTGAATTTAATTAAAGACAAAATGAATTCAATTCAATAGGCAAAGTATAAGAATGCAATACTTTCCAGTCTTTATTATTAAATGTTAACCCTCTTCAGCCACGTCGCTGTCTAGCAATCAGTAAAACTTGTTGATTTCAATCACTTAAGATAAAAGCAGCAAATATTTTTTTTTATTTGAAATTGAAATTGTTTTGTTGTTTACAATTACTTTGTGTTGCATTATCTACAAGCATCGCTGTAGCAACATTTTATAATGTACGTGTAGCAAGAGTGCGTTGTGGAAACTATCTTATCAAACGGTGGCATGCAAGAATTTGAGTTTTGTCTTTACCTTGATGTGAATGAATATTGCATTCATTTACATATATATTTATACCTTGTATATAAAGTATAGATTTATTGAAATTTTATTATATATGTTTTTGAAATTTTCTTTCAGTTCTTCTTGCGATATTTCAACATTGAGAAAAATTTCATTTTCTTTACTTCAATTTCAGCAACATTTTCAAATTCTCACAACTTTTCGTTACAATTGTCTTTTTTTCAATAAAACTTTAAATTGAATTCAACTACGTTTACGCTCGAATTTCTCTTTCTTGTCAGTTTCAGATAAGCAATCTCTCACTTTTGTGGCAGATAAAAATATTACTTCCGCGACCCATAATGGTCCAAATATTTCATACTCTGAATACTCAGAATACTCAGAATTTGCGTTTAATATTTATAGCCTTGACAGTGAACAACCAAGTTTGTTTGTTTTTGTGATGTAAAAAAATGGGTTAAGTTTGTTTGATGATAAACTGTAGAAGATTCGTTGAATAAATAAAATCACAATTCAATTATGGAAAATGTGTGTTGTGGGATTTTTGTTTCAGAAGTTGTTTAGAAAATGTTAACTTTGGGGATTAACTTTTTATTTTCTTGAGGTAATAACTTTTTTTTTTAGAAAAAAATTTAATAGAATTCACAATGGCAATAACCTGTTGAAAAAGTTAGATTTTGTAGTTTGTAAAAATTGAACTATGAATTTTTATTTTATTTTTTTCAGTTTATAGAAAAAAATGTAGATCATGTTATTTTTTGCATATTTAAAATAAAATTTAAATAAGTGATATTATGATTTTATAGTACAAAAATAGTGGAATGAATATTTGGGCGACAATCACTTATTAATATGAGTAGCGCTCCAAGCACTTTATTATTTTTTATTTATTGCAAACGAAAAATTCGTCAACTGTTTTTCGTATGTAGGTTTTGATAATGTAAACTGACTTTCAGTCATTAGTAAAGAAAACACGGTTGCCACAAATGATCACTCTGTTTCTTGATAAAGCTCCACAAATGAATTAATTTTGTATATAATTAAATTGTTCTTATAAAATATATTTTGTTTGTTGCAACTGGTGTCTAACGAAATAGATTTTTTAATTGTAATGGAAAAAATCATTTTAAGGACTATTAAGGACATTTTAAGGCAGCAGACTGAACTGATATGTCGCTTAAATGGCATCTTTATCAAAAGCCGTACTACAGAAGAAACGAAAAGTGCACTCTTGGAACTTTACAATGATGGTGACTTTCGAATGCAGTACTTCTTAAAAAGGCGACGAAAGTATTATAATATTGTCTATACAAACTAATAACTAAAAAGTGAAAATATATTGAACTCATGCCAGATAAATGAAATAAGGCTATGAATATAAAAACATAAATAAGTTTGATTGTATATATTATAGATGACGTTGTACATTTCATATATGTGCAACAAAGATAGTATTTAGTTATATTCTACATGAGCATATCAATAATAGTGCGTCAGACATAAAAAATTTGAATTTCGGAAGGACAGAAGTAAAACTTACCAATATAGGTAGAAAAATATTCACGATTTGTGAAACAAAAAACGTTTACTTCAAGTATTACAATACAAAACCTAAAATTTTAATTTCTCTTTCGTAACTAATGGAATAAAGTTTACAATACTTTCCTTTAGGTCAGTGGTGAAATTTTTTTCAATTTATTCCTAAAACGTGGTTTTATTGGTTCAAAGTCTCACACTATGGCTGTCGATGCTTTCCACCTGCTGTAAGGAAAAAAACCCTACAATCTTGATTTCTTAACATTAACTTAGAAACAATAAAATTTTCAATTGGAAATTATATTTAACGTCATACTAAGTATGAAATGGATCTATCCAATTATTAGGATTAATTATTAGATCTGATTATATATATGTAAGAGCGCCAATTATTATTCAAGATTTTCGATTCTGTTAAAAATAATGATGGATGGTTGAATAAGTTGCAGTAATGAGCTTTATCAGCTTATGTTTAGAGCTGAGCATAATGGTGTGGAAAAGAATTTGTAGTGGTCTATGAAGAAATTTGTGGTGTAGACATTTTAAGACTTTAAATGGAAATGTATTTAACCACTCTTTGTTCATTTTTGTGAAAAAAATAGTTTGTGAGTAGTTAACTGCTGATTGTTTAGATTGTGAATTGCATTAGTCGCGTGTTCAGATAATCTATCCTTTTTATCAACACCAATTGCAGAAAAAAATATTGCTTAGCGACTTTAAGAAGAAATAAATTTAATCATCAACTCTACTGTGAAATAGAGAAGAAAATTGAATAATATTATACTTTTTTTATTTGACCTTTACAAATAAAAGAACAGAGTAGTGTTGTGAAAATAAAAAGTTTTAAGTTTCCTTCAAGAGTAGCTGTTGCACAGAACAACTTAAAACGATTTCAATGCCAAACTTTAATCCAAAAAAACTTGATTCCTTAGTAGGTTTTTTTAGTTTTATTTTAAATATCTTGATAGATTGCTTTGTCAATGTCAACCCTGAAGGCATAAATCTGCTTAACAACTAAAAAGTAAACCGAAAGAAAATACAGATGAGAAAGCAATATATCATATCTCCAGTGGCTGTATAATATATTAGAATAATGGATTCAATATTTTAAAAAATAACTGTAAAATATTTTAAAATTATAAAATTAAGTAACTGATTTATGGAATATTAAAAATAAATAAATTTATTCAAAAATATGCAAGATTGCTTGACTTTGACTGCAAAATGACTATGTATGTAAATCAAGAGAATATGATATATTAAAGAAAAAAATAAATAATTATAATACCACAACTAATCTGTGTAAAAATAAAATAACCTTTAACGAAATATTTTAGTATTAGTATTAATTCTACTAAAATCCATCTAAATAAATTTTACATTATCTAGAACTTCAAGTGAAAGTGTTCCAACTTAAACGTAACATATGCAATACAAAAAAAAGAAAATAAAACAGAAAATAATAATATATAATACGAAATTGTAAGGGAAATTAGTAAGTAAGGTCTTTCCGGAATCAGTAGCGTATACTAAATGTCTTTATTTAGACCGATAGTTCGGTGATTGA